TGTCGGATTAAAAAAAAAAAAAAGATATTTCAAAGGAATTATTTAATATAGTTTACTGTAACTATAATAATAACACAACAATTACAATAAAAATGATAAACAATAAAATCCTGACCCAAAAGTTAAGGGGATGCTTGGATACAATTTTTTCAAAAAATTTCAATCATTTTTAACCATTAACTTTTTCAACTCAAACCTAACTCAACTTTAACTCAACTCAACTATCCTCAATATTATCAACATAATTAAATAATACCACTAAATCATTTTACAAATTAGATCAACTTAATTCACTGTTTATCCACTCACATAATTTTAACTAACCATCATTTCTCTTGTTTTTACATCAAATAAACTTTAATTATTTATTTTAAACATTATTATAATATAAACTCAAAATCCCACTAATAACTAATCATACCACTTTTTTCAAAATTAACCATACCAAACCAAAAAATCCAAACAAAATAAAAATATTTTATATCCAAGATCATATATTAAAAACTTTTACAAACAAATTTCAGTGTTTAGGATCTACATTGGACATGATTCCATGCATCATGAACATATTAACTTTGTTACACAAAATTCTTTCACATAACCAATTAGGAGAACAAACATTACCCTGTTTTCCATAGAGCAAAGTGCAAATTTCCAACCAACACTATGGTTTAGATTGCATAACAGAGCATCAATCCACTCACTCTTGCCTGAATTTGGAACTCCTGTTACGATTGTCAATTCTCCAGGCACAACCTGTATAAAAAAAATAAATAAAATAAATAAATAAATAAATAAAACATTGAACAGCATAGAAAATCAATGATATTATCAACCATCGAAAATGTTTCATACATGCATCATGCTTTTCGAGAAAATTTCTTAAAGCAGTTGAATTTTGACAAAACAAAAACATAAGAGCTGCAGCATACATTAACAGCAGTTACAGCATCAATTTCGATTATGCGAATTAACAAATGAGAAATTACTGATATTTAGTATTTACGGAACTGACACATCAACACAAATAATACTTACATTATACAAGTCGTTGAGAGCCCTCCATCCAGTCGAGACACCAAGCTCGTAACCAAGTGACTGATGATAGTAGTCATCAATCTCACCATTGTAATCTTTGAAATTGAACAGACCTCTAATTGGGTAAAGCTCAGCAGTTTCAATGACATCCCTCAGTGCATCAGGGCCCATAAGCATAAGCACCTTTATTACAAGTGTCAAATACAATATATTAATGTAAATTTTTATTTAAAAAAGTTCTAACAGTAAGCATAAGAATGCATTAAGCAAAAAGGGCAGAGGTTTTTTATTATAGTTAATTTTGTATGGTTAGTTGTTAGTGGGAGTTTAAGTTTATATTAAAATAATATTTAAAATAAAATAACTAAAGTTGATTTGATGTAAAAGTAGGAAAGAAATGATGTGAAATGATACTAGTTAAAATTATGTGAGTGGATAAACAATGAAATAAATAAAGTTGATGTGATGTGTAAGTATGATTGGTTAGTATTATTTAAATATATGAATAAAATTAAGGATAATGGAGTTGACTTAAAAGTTGAGTTTTGATTTATTTTTTTTTTACTGAATTTATATCCAATCACACCCTAAACAGTCCGACCATATATGAATGAATAATACAATTTTCTTGGCCAATCAGAAGTTTGAAAATGTTTATCGGACCTCATTTGCATCTTTGTATCTTTCTGTGTCGTTCTTTTTAGGCCATGTCACCCTCCAACACCTGAATTCAACCAATTAAACCAAAGTTAAGTTCTTAAATAGAAACCTTATGCATTAAAATGCACATATGAATAAATGTATGGCTAAAGAGAACCTTTCTCTCCCCAAACGCCGTGCAAGTTCTTCAGCTAAGGCTTGACCAGGGGCATCATTATCCGTGGCAAGAATAATGCGAGATGCCTTTAAAAATCATAAAGAAATTAAAATGTATTCACTTGGTCCATTTGCCTTTACAATTAAAAAATCATTACAATAGGAAAAAAGAAATCGAAGTAGTGTGTACCTTTTCCATATACTCTTTGCAGTTCCATAGGTATAGGTACTTGACGTCCTAGCTTCAAAAAACATACCAAGAGAATTAGGAATACTCAGTCAGATAAAAGCCTTATAGGGAAAATGCAATATTTAATAACATAATGATGAGTCTTTCTGCTCAACTGTGATGCATAGCTGTCATTACAGAGGGTAGCAAAACATTCTCCAAGTCAACATAAGTAGAAATTTATATTAAGAGAAGATAGAAACATAATTCAAGAGTCTTGAACGTAGTTAAAGAACTTCCTGATAAGGATATGGAGAATCATCTAAGACCGGGAGACTTTTACAACAAATATGAACTATAACAAGAAATCAATCAAAGGCTTCTGAAGTAATATCATTAAATAACTTAAGAGTAAAAGATAGAATCTCATTAAAAAAAATAAGGATAAACGGTACATTTTCTTGGCAGGGCAAAGCCTTGTCCGAGACTTTCGGAGGAGCACCATCTGGGACACTCACACAGTTTCTGAAGCCAGCTTCTTCCATTGCAAGTTTGTCCATTTCACCTTCAACCTTAGAAAACACGAACAGAATATAAGTTGTTCTGAGTCGTATATGTATAATTTTATATAGCAAAGCCGAAGAGCAGTGATTACAATGATGACATCACTTGCTTGTTTTATATCATCCAGTCCATAAAAGATTTTTTCAGTATTGGCTTCCTGCATAACGAGCTGAAAAATAAGAGATTCGTAGAATAAAGCATCAAATTTACATTTTACCAGTCAGACAAGTTTGCTACAAATTTTACTTCTACATGAGGGAATACCTTAAATGTGAAAAGATAAAAAGCCCAAAACTCGGCCATGAACAAAAATTATGAATCGAATTGTACCTGCCAAAATTTTTTGTTCATGTCACGATACTTGCAGCTTACAAGCTCTCTATTCCTCCGGTAAGTGAAAGCAATAACATTCTGCTAAGAAAATCACCACCAGAAGGTAGTCGGACAAATTTAATGGTTATATCATTCTTTTAAGCAACTTTGTAGCAACAAGTGAAGGCATATTACAAAGTTAATGTGAACATTTAACACTATTTACCTATTAAGACAGTCCCCATGATAGCACAAAAAAAGAAATATTATATATAATAATATAAAAAATGTGCAGCATCTTGAAAATTATATGATTGATTCACCTGATCTCCACTTTTTTTCTGCATGACATTATTTCTTCGTAACGTTTCTCCAGATATCATCCGCTTAGCAAAATATACAAGTAGCTAGGAAGGCAACGCAACAATCAAAGAAACATCAGTCAGTGAATGTCAATATAGCTTTCACAAACTTCTTCGAGTTCAACAGATAACAGGAGAATATAGCCGATGTATAATTTTTCAGGGAGGCCAGAAAAATATGTTCTACTTAGCTGTCTGCTTGAGTTATCAATCAGAAGAATAAATTTTGATAGTCCACAAAGTGGCACATACATCATTACTCAAAGGTTCTAGTCCCAAACTCTCCTCTGTGATTATTCTAGGCTGCTTCACTCTCGTATTAGCATTCATTGTTGCATAAGTCGATTTTACATCTGCATACGCCTGAAAAAAAATAAAAAAATAAAAAATGTAGCACAACCGAATGAAATTACCATCAATAGTCCAAATTTTAGTAAATTTAATCTAGAAACTTACTCGGGTAGCGCCTGTCCACTTACATTTAGCTCGAAAGCAAGTCCAAACTGCTGCCCCCCTACGAAACCACAAAAGCAACGAAAATAAAAATAAGATCTAACAGAAAATAAAAAATGAATTATTGAGAATAATATTGAAAATTACCCGTCTGGTTCAATAAGAAGAGATAAGCTCTTCTCCTCTAACTCCCCACCTTTACACTACAAAACCAACACAGCCTGTGACTTTAACAGAATGGGGATAAAGCTCACAAGAAAATGAGAGAAAAAAAAAAGTTAGAATCTTTTATTTCCGTTTCTACAATCTGAATCAGCATATGAAGTCACTCATCAAAACGATAACTCATACTACAAAAACCAGTTATAACTTAAACTAAAAAAAATCCAGAGCACATGAAAGTAACAATTTCATTCGTTAACTGATATCAACACGTAAAACTCAAGCTGGAGCAACAAAAACAGATTTAAAAATAATGAGAAGAAAGAATTGAGGAATCACATACACTTGGACAAAATAAGCCATGGTACTGCCCAGGCAAACAAGGTTCGGGGTCAATGCCGATTTCCCTCAACTTTCGCCTCAATACAATAAGCTGTCCTTCATCTACAGGTTGATACTTAAGAGTCTCCACACCAACACTAGGTACTGCACAATTCAAACCAGAGGCACTTACAAGTTACAACTTACAAACTCTAAGTTACACCCACAATAAAACATTTATATGGCAATGCAAATGATATTCATGTTCAAAATTCTGGCTTTTTCTGAAAGATTCTTATATTCAACTCTGCATTTCAAACTATTGCACGCGAAAAATGATGAACACTTACTCGGTCGGGGAATGGGCATGGCTGCACATGAGGTATAACCATATCCAGAAGCGGCCCTCTGATAAATTGCAGTGAAGGGTCTCGAATTATTAGCGAAAAAGGAGAGATTTTTCCTGCTATTGGAGCGAAAGCAGCGCGTTTGCGAACAAGAATGGAGCGAGAGCACGCGCGCGTGCGCAGCGGGAGAGGACTTGAGCAGCAGAAACTCCTTAGCCGCCATGAAAATAACTCTGCTGCAATTTGAGTGTGAGCTCAGGAATAGATTCCGCTGTGGTGAAAGAAGCATGACTTCTCTCTCAATATTTTTTTTTTTTTTCCTGGGTTTTCAATAGAGAGCACTAAAAGGAAGAGGGCTCTGAATTTCCATGGAGAAAAGAGGAGAAAATTAAAAGGAAGAGGGCTGCCAGTGCCTTGACCATGGGGACAGTTTTATATTTTGAGCTAAATACAACCAATTTTTCACTAAAATATTCAGAAATAAAAGCTGGTTCGAGCTTATTGTAAAACCTAGTTCATTTAAATCAAGCCATTTTTTTTTTTCCTCGAGTTCAAATTATTCTGGACGAAAAAAGTTTATTTGAACACGAAAGAACTCGAACTTTAACAAATCACTAAGTAATTCAATAATAATATCTTTTTTTTTTTTATCAAAGTATATAAAGAAGTATATAGTATAGTGATCGAACGTAATCGAATGCGAGTTCAAAATGCTCAAATTTAGCTCGTTAGGTTATAGCACTATTTATTACTAGATATACGCTTTTTGGGATTTTAGCAAAAGCTGGAAGAGCACAAATATTGTGATATTTTTTATTGTTTGAAAGATAAAATATTATAGCCACCAAAACTGAGAATACAGAGAACAGACCAATAATCCAAATTTTCCAAGTTACAATGTGTTTTATCATTTAAATTGTCAACTCAATCAAACACTGGGAAAACACACACAAACCATAAAATTAGCTAAAGCACAAATAACAATAACAGTAAAGTAACACTAATAATTAAGGACAAAAAAAGAAGATATCTGATCAGTAAAATGATCCAAAATCCCTCATTCATTGTAATTCATCCACAGACAAAACACAATCGAACGTTCACTTTCCGAAAACGATATGGAGATTCGGAATGCTCGGTCAGAAGTTTGTCTTGCTAAGATTCGCATTACGATAAATCACTCTCGTTCTGTAAAAAACCAGTGATTACCGGCTAATTACTCAACTTATCCGCGTCATATAATTCTGCATTTTTTATTGCATCTCTTAGAGCTTCCACGCCAAGATTCACGAGGACCTAAATAAAATTCGAGTAATAAATAAATAAATAATCACAGTTCACACAAACTAACGTGGACAAAAAATGCATAAAAGATTAGTAAGCAGAATGTGTACTAAATACTAATCATTTACAAATTACAAAAAAAGGAAAATGAGATTTCCTATTGGAAGTTTGAAATATTTCGGCAAAAATGCATTTTTAGTCAAGTTGGCTTAACGTCATAGCAATTTTAATCTCAAGATTCCAACTTTTCGCTGTTTGGTCATGTGATTTAATATTTTGCTGCAATTTGAGTCCTTTGAGGACTTAACTTGCAACAAATTCCCAAATAGATTTTCTATTAGCAATTTAAGTCCTATAATTTAAAATTTTGTTGCAATTTCATTCTTGAACTGAAAGTGCAGCAAAATATTAAATCACAGGCGAAATTTTCGAACCTTGGGACTAAAAATGCATTTGGCGTTAAACTAGCAGGACTAAAACTTCAATTTTGTCAAACATTTCACATAAAAATGCAATAAGCTCCAAATTATGTTAATAAGTGATAATAAACCTCTCTCTTCCAAGCCGACGAGCAAGCTCTTCAGCTAAAGCATCGCCTGGTCCATCACAATCAATTGCCAGTATAATTCGAGACGCCTGATAACGATACAAAATATATGTAGTATATAATAAATATTGTCTAAAATGTGCCATAGATATAAATGAATTAAGATTTATCTCTAACCTTGTCGAGATACTCTCTGCAATTCCATAAGTACTTAAAGCCGGTGTCCTGATGAAATTAGACTTTAAACATTTATAACTTTATACTAATAAATAAAAATACAAACGTTGGATAAATAATTAATCCATGACTGAAAAAACCTTATCGGGAGATGGAAGCTCTTTGGGTGAAACTGTTTGTGGTGCGCCTCCTGGAACACTAACACAGTTGAAAAAACCAGCTTCTTCAACAGATAGCTTGTCTATTTCACCTTCAACCTTAAATAAGTCGAAAAAACTATAATCAGGCATGAAAAATGGAGATGAACCTTAATCAAAAGTGGCAGTAAGTGAATAGACTAAATTACAATTATAATCTCGTCCGAATCAGCTATGTCATCAAGCCCGTAAAGCACCTTCTCTGTATCTTTTTCCTGAAAGATTAAAAAAATGCCTATTTCGTTTCAAATGTTCGGGATAATGGTATCTTTTTTTTACTCTTCCGATAGGACTAGCAAAAAAAAAAAAAAAAAAAAAAATTGAAATATAAAAATCAATATCCTAAGATAGAAAAGGGAAAGTACCTGCCAAAACCTTTTTTCTAGTTTTCGATACTTACAGCCAACGAGTTCGCCATTTAGTCTGTAAGGAAAGGCAATGGTGTTCTGCATTGGACCAAAACAAACTGCAATGTACTTACGGTTTTTTTCAAAAACCCATTTGTTACAAGTTCCTACCCATGAATATTAAATAAGGACATATATATTAGTTATTTGTAGTTATTCATGAAATACTGATGTCTCATATTATTAATAGCCATTGGCCTCATACAAAATCACAATACTATTGACCAATCAATAATTCAAAAGTAAGTTCTTTTTCTCACCCAATCACCAACTTGCATAACATTATTTCTCTCCAATGTTTCCTTCGATATCATCCTTTCAGCAAAATATGCAAGCAACTGAAAAATCAACAGAGAAAATGAAGCAAATATGTTTTGTCAAACCATAAATAAAGCATGGAACTTTGCATCCTCTTAACATCTTTAAATCAGCTAAAATATGTGTTCGATTGTGAGTCATACACGCGAATGGCCAATAAGAGGAAAAAAAAATATATGCTAATAAAAAAGAAGTAATAAAATGGTACCTCATCACTCAGCTTCTCTAGCTTTACACTCTCCCCCGGGTTAGCTTTTTTGGTATCAGCAAAAACCTAAAGTTAAAAGTTATCGTTTATAAGGAAAGGAATAGAACTTTTAAGGTTCAAAAGAGAGGGAATAGTAATAATTTAAACACTTATGTCACGGCACCTTTCCCGCCCATCCACATTGTAGATGAAAACACCTCCAAATTGCATAACTCCTGATATATGATATCCATATTCAATACATGTAATTAAATTAAGGGGGAAAAAAAGAAAGAAAGAAAGAAAGAAAAAAGAACATCACTCACCAATTTTGACTTATGTAAACCGAAAGACTTCTATGTATAGGCTGCCCACCTTCACACTGACCCAATTCAACAAGAAAACAACCCATAAATCCATAAATCCATAAACACTAAATCATATACGTTCTGAAAGTGTATAGAGAGCTAACTGCACATGTCCAAGTGCCCATCTTTTTTATTCAATCCTCCATGAGTTTTTTATTCAATTGCACCGAATCGCACAGCATAAAGCAAGAATGTGCAACATAAAACAAATACCTTGGGACAATACAAGATATCATATTGTCCAGGCCTACAAAAATCAGCATTTAATCCCACAGCCTCAAGATTTCTTCTCAGTTTATCAGTATTCTCTTCCTCTGCCAGATCCATAACAGCTTAGATTTCACCCAGAAAATGAAAAAAAAAAAAGAATATTTCACTTTTAGAGCAATATAACCATAGTTGAGAACAAATATTTCAGTTTTAGAGCAATATAAATAGAGTTAAGGAAAAATAAATCAGTTTTAGAGCAATAAAACCAGAGCTAAGGAAAAAGATATCAGCTTTAGAGCAATATAACCATAGTTAAGAACAAAGAATTCAGTTTTAGAGCAATATTGTTATATTTCTGGTATAAAAATTACACGGGAATCCTACGAACTGATATGTATTTTTTCAGTTCTTACAATTAATCTAAAAATATAAAATTATAATCGAACTGAAAAATAAATTACAACTGAAAAATAAATTAAAAAAAATTAAAAATCAAAATGGAAAGATTTTAGCCGAGGCGAGTAAAACTCTTTCCGCAAGAAGAATACGCCCCGTGTGGCAGCTAACGGTTTAGGCGTAACTTCCCCAAAGATACAACGGCAAACGTCTCTAAATCTGTAGCACACCAGATTTACGAGCTCCGGCGAACTGGAATGGAGTCGAGAATTGAGCACTATATACAAAAATAAAAATATATTATTTTTATTTTTCTTCCTCTATTTTTTCCCACCTTTCTTCCGAATTTT